CTCTCTCTCTCTCTTTCTCTCTCTCTCCTGCCTTGCTCCTTTCATCCCTCCCTCCCTCCCTTCCTCACTCCCTCACTCCCTCTTTCACTTCTTTCCTCTCTGCCCCCTTTCTTCCTTTTTCTCTTTTTTATTTCAAATCACTGTCATTTTGCCTTTGTCTTTTTCATTTTCATACTTTCTATTTTCCAGTTTTCTGATTCCCTCACACTCACTTTATTCTACTCTTTTTTTTTTGCCCAATTGGTATCCCTCCTGTTCTTGCCCATCTCCACCACTCTTATTGACCTATTTTGTATATCCCTTGTTTCCTCAATCTCTCAAATTATCTATGAATGTTGTAAACACCTATATCTGCTGCTCATACAAGGTATCAGAATAATACCGCAATATAAGTTTACGACAAGAGGGTGAGAAGAGAGAGTCATACGTCACAGTCTGATTCCCCTGTGTTATGGATGGCTTGGTGAGGTCCAAGGGAAGTTCATTGTAGTGACAGTATGTTGTGAGACCTGAGAGGTATACATTCAGCAGCCTTGGGAAAGAGCTGTTTTAAAAACATATTGTTTGCAGCTGACAAGTATATTTGGTAAAAAGTAAAGTTAAGATTTTGTAGGAAATTGATAACTTTGTGAATTATTACTGCCATAGCAGTTTGGATATTGTGTGTTGTTGAAACATTTGTTATAGCATGTCTGAATTCAAAAGGTAAGTAGTAATTGCTTAGCTTCACAGCTTTTTAATGGTGACAGCCAATCCCATGTTCATATTTTATCAAAATTCATTCTATTTAATTTCATTTGATTACGTTAATCAAGTGAAATTGATCTGATAAGTAACGTGAAGTGCATCCAGCTCTTGAACCTAATGGGCGTTCCAGAAAAGTACCTGAATTTTTGTTGACATCGCAGCAGTTAATTGGCCAGTTCTGCTGTTATGTATGATGCTGAATTGACCTAAGACTTGCATAACCTTTTTGTTGTTTTTTTAGACAGGGAAAAATGTATTGTAGAAGAGGCTAAGAGGGGAAAGAGCAGTTTAAGCCCAAAAATTCAGTGATGCAGCTGTGGACAGTGAAGCTGATGATGCCTTTTGTTTGTCCACACGTAAAGAGGGATAGAGAGTGAATGGATGAATAAGAGAATAAAGGAAGGAAAGAATGACAGGTGTTAAAAGAAAGTATGTAAAGAATGACTACAGGAGAGAAAGAGAATGAATGCATGACAAGAAGGGAAATTAAGAGGAGTAGAGAGAGAGAGTGAGTGAGTGAGTGAGTGAGTGAGTGAGAGTGAGAGAGCGAGAGTGAGTGAGAGAGTGAGACAGCGGGTGAGAGAGAGAGAGAGAGAGAGACAGAGCAAGATAGAGTGGGCAAGAGAATGAGAGAAAGGAGAGAGTGACTGAGACTATGCTGTAGAATGTTTCATAAGAGAGTTTCTAAAATTGGGCTTAGAGTTTCTGTGACATCTTCAAAGCTTCTCATGTTTTTTCTGGAATTCAAATTTGGTGCCTGGTGGTGACAATTTCCATTGTTGATTAAGATTTATCATATAATATGAAAGAATAAGTTTTGACAAAATTTGAGAACTGTTTTTTGGCTCTTGTCATTACTTTTAAAGCACTAAAATGCACTAAGATTTACAAAGCCATCCATGTATTATTATGTAAGTTATTTAGATATATACTTTCTTAGATTTATTGATGGTAGATGAAATGATAGCTAGCTACATTAATAACTTATTTTGTTCACCAAATTAAATTACATAAGTTGATCTTCTCTTTTTATATTCCAGTTGCATGTTTTTGAATCGAATTCTGCGTGGGGTCCAGTCACTTATCATGGCCAGCAAGTACAATATCGTATTTGTTCTTGGAGGACCAGGAGCTGGAAAGGGGACCCAGTGCTCCAAAATAGTTGATGTAGGTGGATATTTTATTGTGTGTTATCTGTTGCATATACTTGTGTAGAATATGATCCTTTTTGGATCCATTTCTTTTATATCTCTCTAAAATAGAAAATTAGGATTGTGTCAGAATCGTATTGTATTTTGCTGTTCTTAGAATGAATAATTACTATGCAGGTCATGAAACATTATACAACAGAACAGTCTTAAGTTTGAAAATAATGGTTAAAATTAGGGAAATTCAGCTACCAACCACCTCTTCATTTATGTTAGTTATGTTGTTGTTACCCAGCCTGCCATTGGACAAACTGAATGTTGCATGTAAAAGAGTGTATATAGAATTTAGATTATAGAGGATGACCAAGTCTATATTTTGGTGTTATTGAATAATCCTTGTCAGGAAATGAATATATGTAAATTTTGATGAATATTGATTGTTAAATGCACTTGGCCAGAGAACTTCATTTGAGTTAATAGACAATGTAGAAAGGGTCGTTAATGATAGAATAGATGACTGACTTATGATGCTGTTGTGCATTGACTTGTCAGATCCATTTGATTTCTTGGAAAATGGAAATGGAAATGGAAATGGATTTAATGGAAAAGGGTAAGAGATAGTTTGAACAAGCCTGGAATAGAACTCTATCAGTTTGAGTCACTAAAACTAATATTAAGACTGTAGTGAGCTTTGTATGTATAACCAGCATCATTTTGTTTGTCACGGGCTCATTCTAGTATAGATAACACAAAAAAAGGCTGTTTAGTCTTTTTTCTTTAGCAATTGGGCTCTTTATTTTACTCAGCCAGGAATTCTTAAAGGTAGACGTGATCGCGGATTTATTGGCGCCAATGACAGTTTTCCCAGTTTGCACCCAGCTCATTCAGTAGTTTGCGGGCACCATTAGGTATTTAAAAGCTTGTATTCTGATACAGTTTTAAGAATTATCAAATTTTTGAAGGTTTACCTTCACATTAGGTGCTATTGCCTAAAAGTTTTACCATAGAAATGATGCTACTATTAGAGAAAAACAAGCTCTGTCTGATGAGCCGACTATGAGGGAATGGTCGTGTTTGATGCCACACACTACTTTGTCCACAACACCCATGGCATGTATGTACATGCTACCTGGCGGGAAGTGGTTAAGATTTTGGTGGGGGATGGTAGCCTTCGACTGACATGTCAGGTCACCAAAAATAGCTTTTTCTCAATGCCTAATTTTAAAGGTGTGATCTCTTATATTGAATATTCCTTATATTATATTAGAATTGACACCCTTATTAAGAGATTACATGTTTTTTCTTCCTCTTCTTCTTTATATTTGTAAACATATAATTTATATTTGTATTTCTTTTCCTAGACTATCATATACAAAGTAAAATCCTAGTTTGTGGAAAGTATTGCATCATGATTTTCTTCTTATTTGTGTAGATATGTATGGTTCTGTTTTTCTCTGCATCTTACTTTCTCCTTCATGAATCAGTGTCTAATAGAATGTCAAGTTTAAGGAAATTATAAACCAAACATTGAATTGCCCAAGCTTACAGAGATCAGATATCGTTAACTTAGCCAACTTTTTTCTTTTTCCAGAAATTTGGTTTTATTCACTTGTCTGCAGGTGATCTGCTAAGAGAAGAGAGAGCCAAACCAGGCAGTGAGTATGGAGAATTAATTGAAAACCACATCAAGAATGGTACAATTGTGCCTGTGGAGATTACCTGCTCCTTGTTAGAACGTGCCATGAAGGTAAAGATGTAATACCTTCTTTCTGTTATGATATAGTGACTTTTTTTGAGTCATGTTGAAAATTGTTTAGATATAAGATATGAAAATTTTCTGCTTTTAGTTTGTTTGTTTTTGTCATAGCAATGAAAAATAGGTAAAGAATAATGATTATGCTTTATTTACATGTGCGTTTATTTATATTTACAATCTCAATTGGACTTTTAATTTTCAAGGACTCTGGTAAAATGGACTTTCTCATTGATGGATTTCCTCGGAACCAAAATAACCTTGAAGGCTGGAACAAGGAGATGGGAGAGAAAGTTAACCTGAAGTTCGTCCTTTTCTTCAATTGTCCTCTTGAGGTAAGGTTTGGCATATTTCTAGCCATCCATTGTAAGTGTCAGATGATATAGATTTGATTGATATAACACTGCTTATTCGTAAGATATGTATGTTAAATATGTGAATGGATGTTTATTTTAGAACATCTGTTTACATTTGATTTTGCAAGGTTGGTATTAATGATTGAGGGATATTGATTGAATTATGAATGGCAAAACTTTTTACTGGGTTGATACTGAGATTTAAGAAGAAGAAAGCTAAACATAAATTAAATTTATAGAAAAGTGAGACAGCAGCTTTGAAATCTTCAGATAAAGATAAAATCTGGGAGGATTTTGAAATGGTTGTCTGACTTTTATTCTAAATCTTGAGTATATATAGTAGTTGATTTGTGTTAAAAAATTCCTACAACATTGTCAGTTTCTCATTACAGTAGGACAACTGTACTAAGTGTTAGATAATTTGCTGAAAAGAATTGAGAAATTAGACATGATATTGAACAGCATAGTAGGATGATAGAATAAAATTCTAGCTTTGGGAAAGTTGTGTGTGTGGATACTTTTGCTAAGATGACAGAAGTGTTGCACAAAATACCATTGCTACATTCTATAACAATTAGATAGGTTTATATTTAGATTTAGTTTGATTTACGTAGGGGATTTGAAAAGAGAAAAAAAATCAAGATATCCATTCTATAAACTAATTTATGCTCGTTATATGCAATGGTTTTGCTTAATTGATTTTTGCTCATAGATGGCTCCACAATTGCTACTTACCAAGGTGTCATTTACTAGGCCTACTGGAGCTCACCTGTTTACCCTATTCCTTGATTTTTTGGGGGGAAATGTTTATATTTCTGCAACTAATACTAGTTGTCTCATCATAATAATTGTAATGATGATGTTTTTTGTTTTTGTTTTTGTTTTATTTTTTGTTTTAATCATCATGATAAGGTAATCGTAATAAAAATAATGTGTACATGCACTCCTGGCATTGTTAGTTAATTTCCTTATTTTTTAACTATTTCATATAACCACATAATTTTTTTCATCTACAATCAGATTGGTTCTGTTGTTTAAACTTTGCAATTAGTGCAACAGCTACTTTAATAATCCCTCCTTCTAGGTGTGCACTCAGCGATGCTTAGACAGGGGAGCTGCAGGGTCTGGGCGCTCAGATGACAACCTGGAGTCCCTCAAGAAGCGATTTGACACCTACATGAATGCCACAATGCCTATAATTGAGCACTACGAAGAGCAAGATCTTGTACGCAAGATCGATGCCACTCGTTCACCTGATGAAGTGTTCGAAGATGTTGAAAAGCTGTTCAGTTAAATTAGTCATATCTGAGGAAGAAGGTAGGTTGGCTCAGCAAAGAACCAAGAACCATCTGGTTAATTTAACAGTGTTTTACCATGAAAAGGTTAGCAGTCAGCTAGATATCATGAGATAGGTATTTTGAGTGGTATTTTAGTGAAAGATCTCAGCATGAACAAATTGTACCAAAACACAAAGTACGTGAATGTTAAATTATATAAACATCATTATCCTTTGGCTACTTTACCATTTGCAAGTGTGTCTTTTAATTTTTATCTCACCAAAGAATTCATTAAATATATTATTTGCTGATGTGGTGCTTTTCACTTTGCTATTTTTATTGCAAATATGTTGACCATGATATTAATTTGATATTCTTTTTTTTTTTTCTTCTTCTTCTTTTTTTAATATTAATGATATCAATTTGAACTGTTCTTAAAGCAATATTTTTGGCTTCACTCAATTTCATCGATTGTTAACACTGAATATGGCTTTGTACTCAAATAGATTATATTGCTTGATCATACTTGACTTCCGTAAACTGATGGTTTGCCATTATTATTAATGACATATTTCACTGCATTAGGTAATTAGTATTATTTATATGTATCTATAATTACTAGCTAAACCACTCATTTGTTTTTGACAGGGAATACTGTATATTGCCTTGGTGTATTTATATGTGGTCATGTACGATTAGCTTATTTGTAATTATTTATTTTGTGGAAGGTTACCATACTTAGAATATAAAAGAAGATATTCAGACACTAAGTTAGGTTTTATTTGTATGATAGTACTTGTTTCTGTAGATTGCTATTTTATTCAAGCAAAAAATTCTAGCATAAGTGAGCAGAGATTTCAGCCCCACATGTGAAATATGTAAACTGTACTGAAGCAAGTGTAAGGTAATGAATATTAGAAAAGAATCAACAAGAAAAATCAGTAGTATATATAGCCAGTAGACTTACATGTATTTCTTCAAGGGAAGGTCAGTACTTTTCCTCCACCTGTTCAGTCATAGAAAACTAGATTGCCTGTTTTTGTTAGTCACAGAAAACTAAATTGAAAATTTATATTAGTCACAGAAAACTAGATTGACATTTTACGTTTCAAGTTCCATGATGGCAGCAATAAATGGTTGAATAATGTTAAAATAAGCATTTCAGTTTCCACATGTCAGCAAATCATCATTTCATATGCATTTACATCAGATATATGTGTTAAATGCTGTATATCCATAGTCATTATCTAGTATGCAAGTTTAGAATAAATGTTATTTTAAGATGTTATTGACAATATTTTGGGCTGTAAATTGAATTTTTAAGTTTAAAGAGTGTATCTAATGTTAGGGAAAACCTCAAACCTTTGTCTGCTATTTATTAAAAGAATTAGGTATTGTTTGAAATAAAATGAATATTACTTTTAGTTTGGCTCTTTTCAACCTTGTTAATTTGAGTTTTTAACATTTCTTTGATGGTGGAAATGCATATCCTTAGGTATATTCTTATAGACCCATAGTTCATATAACACTCTGATATAATTCAAGATATGGTTCAGAATGCATGGTTTTATATGCCTGAATTAATGGAAAAGGGTCAGGTTAATTAAATAAGATGAACATTCCTCCATTTATTTATTAACAGTCACACACCATCAGGCAGGCATTGTAGTAACCCTCTGGTGCTTTACAACCTGGTTGCAGGAGGCAGTTGTTAATGAAAACATTAACTTGGAAGGGCAACTAAATACAGGAATTTACAAAAAAGTAGTATGATTTACAGCATAACAGTATGGACTTGTTGATACATACAATCCTAGCAACAGTGACCTACACAATAGTAGTGGAAGTATCAATACCTAACTGATGTGCAGCTCAACTGTTCCAAATATTTTGCAAAGTCAGTTTTTTTTAAATTTAAAATTGCTCATGAACATGGACTGGAACAAGACATCATATTTCATTGTTATTGCTAGTATCCTGCCCTTTAAAAAAGACTGTAACTTTTCTTTTTTACAATTCTAAACTTCCAAAAAGGTATTATGTAATAGCACAAAGTATTTTCTATCTATATATTTTATACAAAAAGTGAAGTACAATATATGGAATACACATCTGCAATACACTTTATCAAAATTGTGCCAAAATTTAATCAACATAAATTTATCCTGTACATATTATGCTGAAGAAAAAATGGAAACGATCCTGAACAAGGGTAACAGAACAAGAGCCTTAACAAATACAGCATATGTATAATTAACAAGTTCTTGGTAATTTGATCTGATCTAAACAGTTAACAGCAGTAAGACATTTTCCTGTATAAGTTCCTCTTCCAAGACACTATCTGTTAGCAAGACCCCATCACACTTGTACATGCTGCCTTGGGGTGGGAAGATGACAAGACAGTTGGTTTAAAGTAAATCTCACAGAGAGGAAATTTAATTTTGCTTAAATATTAATTACACTTTTGTCTTGCTCATCTTACCAGCCTTGTACTTTGTAAGGCAGTTTATTTTCATGGGGGCACACTTGAAACAAATAGCTTTTTCTTCGACCATGATGTAAACAAGGGAAGAATTCAGAATTAAATATAAATGAAAAAAAGGGGGAGGGGAGTAGAAAAATTGAGACTACAGTGCTGGAACTTCATGGTACCTCCTACAAATCAGTTTATTTCCTATTTTTTGTTTTTTTTATTTTTTATCTTTTATAGCACAGCTCAGGAGAACATTATAAATTACACATTGGTTCCTACCAATAGCAATGGATCAGCAATCTACCATTAAGTTAATGAACTGTGACTACCCTCCTAGGAAGCCACACGCATCTGTGTATCTGTGGAAACAGCACTTTGAGCTAGAGAACATCACTGCTACTTTGGAGTATGGCAAGGAGAGTGCTTATCACCCTTGGCTGGGTGGAAGCAGGATCTACTAACACTAGTGCTCTTATGGGGTTAATTTCATATTTCATTTGCAATATTCCACATACTGATATTTATTCTGCAACTCCTGAGGCCGAAATATTGCAAGGGAAATCATGACTTTTGTGAAAACATATACGATGGAGCATTAAAAGTGTGCAGTTATCTGCTTTTATGCCACTTTTGTTGCTCACAAAACTGATTGACAAGAAGACAGCTTGATTTCAGGACAAGAAGCTTTGTGCATATACTTGAAAGTCACCACATAATTATTAATCCACAAGAGAGTGATAACTTTTACTCAGACTTCCAAATATGGTTTGGTCTGAAAAAATACCATGTTCAAAAAATATATTACTACTAAGACATTAACACGTCTAAGTTTCTTACAAAATGTATATACTTATTTTGTGCAGACGCCAACTAACAAGGAATGTTTGAAAGAAAAATGAGAAGAATAAGTTGTTGTCACAAGACTTCACATGTAAATGCAACTTTTTAGAGAGAGAGATCCTGTAAGCTCAAAACCACCAATTTCACTGGTTATTTTTCAACCTTTAACTACATGTTCTCCAGTTTATAATGCTAAACCTTTGCAGTTTAAGGTTATAATCTAAAGAAATATTTTTTTTTATGCTGATATATGGAAAGATTACAGTATACAATGCCAAAATAGTACAACCAAAAATATCAGTACAGTAATGATCCACAAATATTCACCAACAAAGGTATTTCAAATCTTTTAATTCTTAATTTTTGAAAATGTAGCCCTCTACAATAAACAATGTCAATTAAGTTGATAAATCAAAGAACTTATATTTGTGTTTATACCATCAATTCATACCAATGCTACTAAATACTCTACTTTGGATAAAGGTTTTGCATATTAGGAAAGTAGAAACTACCAATATTCTGAATAAATTGGAACAACTAGGGAAAACCATAGCAGATTCAGAATATGTTACTAGAAAAATATTTCCTCATAACAAATTTGCAGCCAGCTTAACCCTGTGTTACCTCAAAATTTTATTAACACCATCTTAAAGATTGCATTAGAAAGCAAAGGTTCTTGCAAGTAAACCTATATAAATCAACAACAGAAGTATGATGCAAAGAGAATCCATCAGATATCAGAATTTCATTAAAAAGCTTTACTAGAAAATCTTGTATATCTTCTACCCTTCTTAGTCTTACTAAATAGTCATTCTAGTATTTCTCACAAAAGTCTAAGCTGATTTTAGGGACTTATCTGATACGTAACAGTATAATGAAGGATGACTACCATACCTTTGTGGACTCCAGTTACTTCTCAAGCTTTTAATGACATCTGTACTGAGACTGCTTGTTTAAATATTTTTTTCTCTAATTAAATATGATATATACATGTTTATGATATGACATTTTATTACAATATCATTCATAACTTCGATGCGACACTATAAAATTAGGATTGAGGTATCTTCCGTGAAGGAAATAGCAATGCGGTCAACTCTTACTCAGACATTAGTGCATAGAAAATAAAAGAAATGCGAGAAAACACTGGTTTAATACTGGAATAATGGAATATGACCATTTTACACATAACACAAAGAATACTTAAAGCCAGTGACCTTCTAAGAGGAGAAAAAAAATTATACAAGGTGTTCTTCTTTTAGTGTTGATACATTACTTGTACAAAAACAGGTGAGACATAAAGGCATTGTCTCATAAACATATTTTTTTAAAAAGCAGATGAAAAATATTAAAAAGACATTAAAAAAAAGAACAAAATCATCTCAAAAATAAGAAGTATGCCACAAACACTTCCTTGATCAGCACCTACAAATACCTCTCTGACATTATCAAATTAAACATACAAACAAGAAATAACAACATAATATATAAATAACAACCAAAGATAATCATATAGACAGGGGAATGCATCTGAGAGATCAAAGGAAGACAGAAAGGAGATGAAATTTGGGGAATGTTTTTGGCAAAGAAAGGGTTGTCACTTTCGCAGAAGTGTTAATGAAGTCCCTTGTCATGTCATGGGAGAAAAATTACATGAGAAAAAAAAAATGAAGGGAGGGGGAAGAAATATGTGAAAATGTAATATTTTCATTAGAAAACATGATGAGTACACTAGAGTTATGGACCCCAAGAATTTGTTCTTCATATCACAACCTGATCAAGTAATCCTTTTTCAGATCAGGACTTGGATTCTCTCTGGGCAATCAGTCACCTGATCAAAAGCATGCAGGATTTTCCAAATATATGTTTTATCTCAAAACATTGACAACAATTAGAATAAGAAATATCAGATTCCAAATGAGAACAGGAAGCAGTAAGAGCATGAACTTCAGAAGACAATAGGTTCATGAAAAATGTAAATACCTTTACTTGTGCATACAACATCCCATACTATGAGATATGGACACCTGACAGTTTATGAAAGAAAGTACAATATTCAAAGATAATATTCAGTATCAGCATTCTAAGAAATTATTCACAATATTCCTCAAATGCATGGAGGGAAGAGAAGATCATACTTTGTAATAACACCACGTAGATCTATCATTATTATCATTAACTGCTGTTTTAAAAATATATTCAAGTTTTGCATTCTATGTTGGATATTTTCGCAATACAATATTCATCTCACTGGTTCATAAGTAAATCTTAAAAGGTGGCTTTCAAAATTGGCTGCTTGCATTGATATACCTTTAGTCTGAACCAATCATTCAAATATTTTGTTTCCAAACTGCAACATTCTAGCAGGTGTATTCTAGGCAAAGTCTGAGAATAACTTCTTGCACATTACCATAAATGCTTCTTTTTAAAAAATATTCAAAGGAATTATCAATGGGTGACCACTTTCCTCTATTTCTTTGTGAGACAGACATACAACTATTGAAATGTGACATCCTATTAACCCAAAGCTTAACCTGCAAGTAGTTATTCCACTTTGCCCTTTGTGCTTTTGCCTTCATATGCCAAGGAGCCCTTCTTGTCCTGTGCGACACCAACCTGCTTATCGCTTTTGACAACATAGGCACGGCAGAAGAAGTGTGCAAACAGGACGAAGTATGAGATGTACATTAGGAGGGAAATCTTGATGTTGTCGTAGGAGACATGGCACTCATTGCCTGCCTGCTTCACCTGGTAGGCCCAGATGTTGACGGCAGCACCCATGACCATCTGAGCTAGCTGTGCGGTGGTGATTCCCATGGAGATCCAGCGTGGAACACGGAACTTGAGAGCCTTGAGGGCATAGTAGCTGTACATGACGCTGTGGACCAGGTAGTTCATGCAGACAAACCAGCGGGCAGTGGCAATGTAGTCGGAGTAGGAGTACCAGGCGTAGAGCAGGACGGTAACATGGTGGTACCAGTGGAGGAAGATCAGTGGCTGCTTCCTCAGGACAATGAATACGGTATCTCCCAACTCAGGAACCTTGCTCAGGGTGAACATCCAGTTCCAGAAACCTCCTACTCGGTTGTCCAGGAAACTGAAAAAAAGCATATCAGAAATAAGTGAAACATTCCCTCTTCCTTATCTTTGTGCTAACTTTTTTACTTTAATTTTTACTGACGTGCATAGCGTTGAAAGATCAAACCAAACAATGTAGTAATATTCTCTCATTTCCATCCAAATCATCTTTTTTTAAATTCTAAAAGCAAATCATGTAGAGCAATAGTTTTATACATAGGCATTCCTCTGAACATTTTCTTTATTTTACATATAACACCATGGAAAATCTCATCCACTCATTCCATCATTACCTACCTGCCATTTACCAAACAAATAAACAGACATCCTATATGAATAAAACAATATGGAACAAAACAATACAGGAAATAACCCAAGGACATTCAATGTCATTCACACAAAATCACAACATTCTGTCACATCTCATACACTGGCATTTGTCTGCAACTATACAATACTTACCTTATCTACATCTTATCACTTTTCCTCCCTCATTCCGAGTCATGTTATATTTCAAACAGTACCTTGGGGGGGGGGGTATTGTATGAACTTTTACTCTTATTTCTAACCTTTTTATTTCATTTTTTTCAATATTCTAATCTATCTTTTGATATCATTGCTTCTACATATTTCATAAAATTAAACTGGGCTAATTTCACATGTTTCAACACATCTGCACTGACGAAAAAAAAAAAAAAAAAAAAAACCTACATGGAATTACCTATAACCCTAACCTCCCTTCCCTCACATCCCATCTATTCCACACTTACTAAACCTCTATTACTTATTCTAAAAGCTATCACATCAAATGAAAATGAAGAGTCAGAGAGCCCAACTCGACAAGGTGTGAGAACTACACACTTTCCCTAATTTATAACGAGACCTGTCACATTACTATTAAATATTTCTCTCGTATAAAAACCCCAGGTATTGATCGTGGCGATTCCTGTCATTTTGCACTCTCCTTCCTACTCCGTATGACAAGGTCCTTTGGACTGGCTGCATTTTCTACCATTTCCTGATTATTTCAATTTCCTTATCTTTCTTTTCCTCGTCCTTTCACTTATTTTGAGTCTCTAACTTAGCCAATAAACGCAATAAAGATGAATAAAGGTGTAAGGGGAAAAAAAGATAATAAAAAAAGAGGAAAAAAGAAATTTTGGAGAAAAAAACAAGGGCAATATGAAACAGATCTATAATGGAATTGTTTCTTCCCAAAAAAGGAACATGACACTCCCAAAATCCTACTGAAATAAATAAGGAAAGAAAACTTGTAAAGCATTCAATCAAGTGTTATTTTTCAGAATCAGTGTCAACTGATTCTAAGTCTTGAGCTTAAAAGGCTATATTTGAAAAAAAATATATATATATACCAATAAATTATAATTTTAGTTCTAAGAAACCACAGCTTGCTTGCTAAAAGAAACTTCGAGAGGAGTAACAAAAAATATAAACCGACACCAGGAAATACTTTAAAATAATATTTAGAAAAAAATAAATACCGGAAAACAGCGTAAGACGTAGTTCTCGAAAGCAAAAGGAAATGGCGGGAGAACCCACGAGGTGAAGGACAACAACATTTTTGACGCAGTGCAGGCAGCCTACACAGCGCGACCTACGATTTCTTGTAGGGCGACACCAGGAAGTGACAAGGCTCATTCTTCCTATCAATAATACTTTGAGACGAGACTTTTTTTTATTAAAATGGGAAGGGAGTGTGCAGCTCGGTCTATCTTGCAATGCTATCGCCAATGGCCTTGCCTTCACCTTACAAGATGTGAAAGGAGATCTAAATATTTGTCGTATTCACAAATATTTTCCCATCTTTTTCCTCGTTGTATTTTGTCTGCGATAACCTTCTCCTCTCATGATTTATTCCTCCTGTCCACGGTGTCCTTTTTATCTAATGCATTGACATATTCTGAGAGGAGTATCGAAGGTCCCAATCACGGGAAAGCAAAGGCCACAAGCTGCATATTGGGGCCGTCTATTAAAGATTACATTGGGACCTCAAATGTCTCCGGATTCATTGCGTCAACCTTCTCTCAAATTCGATTTGATTTGACTTGACTCATCCGCCAATACGGTCTAATATCTTAAAATTCCTGTCCTTACATTGAACATCGATATATGAGCTTTCGAAGAGCTATATTTTCGCCTACCGTTAAACACGGTTCATTCCTGAAAGCCGTTTTGACGAAAATCACGAACTTAAATCAACTTAACCGTTAACCGCATCCGCAAATTTAAACCACGCAATCAAAATGTTCAGCACCCTTTCCCTTCGCACACCAAGCTCCCAACAGGCGGCCTCTGCAACCCCAAAAAGAAAAAACAAAGCGAAGACCACCATGAGCGGGGGCATCGACGAGACCATGCCATGAGAGTCCATAACTATTATGGGACGATGCCGTGCTCCAGAGGACGTCCATGACCTGCCTAATGATGAAATAAACAAGATAAAAAGAAGAGAAAAATCTTTAAACTATATCGGAAACTATTAGAGCTATATTACCACGCGAGACGCCCTGTAATATGATTTATATCGGAAACCAATCCGTTGCTATTTGAGAAATATCAAAGCAAGAATCCCGCACTATCTGATTCGAAAATGGCACCAAGCAGAAAACCTGATAAAACAGCCAATACTTATATTATCGCCGAAACAGATAAAACAACACAGGGAAATATATACCATGAAAGTTAACTGATCATAATGATAATAAAAATACCGCATCTTACGTTACAAATCGGTGCAAAACACGCGAAACAGACGAGAGAGTAAGCAGATGAAGCATGACAGATTATGTGCCGATGAAACACGATACCCCGACACCTGCGAGAGCGACACCGCGAAAGGCACACGAAAGGTCATTCGCCCTTGTTTCCGTTCGATTTTCTTGCAATGAGGAAAGGAAACGTGGGTGCCGACATCCTCACGGCGGCCCTATCCTGTCAGACGTGGCTTGGAAGCTAAGAACGCCCATTTCTTAGTGTAAAGTTAATCCAATGCAAGATCATTTTTCCAACTTTTTATTGTTTAAGGTAAGGTTAACCTATTTGAAAAACTAATTCGCTCGGGTACAGGGACGTGAAAAAACGCGCGCACACACAGGCAGACAAACAGACACGAATTACCAAAGGGGAGGGAGGAGAAACATACACGAAGGTACGCAAAAAAGAAAAGAAAAAAGAAAAGAAAACGATCGCTGCAGAGGCTAAGAAAGTGTCGCCTGGAACATCCTTAACTCGCTATCAATTATAATGTAAGGAGGACCGACCCCTGGGCTATATATGGCGTCTAGGGGTCCTCTCTTCTCCCTTTCTTTCTCTATATCTTTTTACTCTTTCTCTTTTCCCTCTTCTCTCCGTCAACGTCTCTGCCTGCCCCCCCCCCTCTCTCTCTCTCTCTCTCTCTCTCTCTCTCTCTCTATATATCTATCTCTCTCTCTATATATATATATATGTATATATATATATATATATATATATATATATATATATATATATATTATATATATATATATATATATATATATTATCCCTCCCTCCTCCTGTCTCGAAATGGTTATAAGAGGACGATCAGAGAAAAGCCTTTGTCTCTTCATCCGCAGCAACAGCGGCAACTGACAGCAACAACCTCAACTACGAAACAACGGTGACACCAGCTCTGCCAGCAAGTGTCAGCTGAAGCAGACTCCGCGGCGGGATAGGGCAGGTTATTGACAATCAAAGCGTGCCACGTGGTGCCCTGACAGCTCGTGGCACCAGGTGGGAAGGCTTTCGGCGTGAGTCACACAGTGTCACGAGCGAGCGAGCGATTGGCGTGCGCGCCAGACCACGCGGCGGCGGCGGCGGCAGAAACGGCGCCTCGCGGGTGTGGCCTAAACACGCCACACCTGACCTACGCGAATAACGCATAATGGCTTCATCAATAATTGGGTTCATAAAGCCACCTACAGGAGTGCATGGGGAGGGGAAAGGGTGTCAGAAGGGGAAGAAGGGAGGAGGAGAGCGAAATCTCCCCCCCCCCTCCCATCCCGGTCCATGATGAGCCGTAAACTGATGCCAGATTGTCTTCGATAGCGTAGACACGCCCCCTCCCCTCTCCCCCACCCGACCTTAAGGTTTATTGCCATTAACACCGCCATTCCCCGGTAATCAAGCTTTCATTAAGGACAACAAAGCACATGGCACCAAGACGCATCTGGCTGGCACTGAGCCCTCCAAACGCGCTCTCCATGAGTGCTCTCGAAGTGCCGCGCTCTCGACCTGCCTTGGAAACGATAAACATTCAAAAGCAACTCGATTCGCATCCGCGGTCTGCGGGCACTCCCATCCGCCGCTGATGACTCACAACTGACTCATTATCACCCCTTACTCGCCATCGCCCCTCTCCTTACTCACCGTCGACATCAACCCTCCCCATCTCCACACACAACCGCAGTTGCTAATCAGGACGCCACTGCAACGCCCCGGCCGCTTCCCCTCCAGGCTCGCTCCCTCGCGCTGGAGTCGGAGGACGCAGCGCGGCCGAAAGGGTGGCACGAAACCGGCGTCTGAACGAAATACCCGTCCCTCCCGGGCCCACACTTTCCCACACGGAATAGGGAAATTAAACTCAAAATCTAAGTCGATCGTCTCAAGCGTGACAGCCGAGCGACGACGCCGACCAGGAGCGCCGCCTTAAGCCTACTCCCGCCCGCGAGGCTTGGCAGGGCCGCCCACGCAACCGCCCTTGCCCTCTCAGGCCTCTGATCAATACCACTCTCGTCACAACACAAACGCCTACGAGACTTCAGCTAAAAGTGTTAAGGAACACTGTGTGGGTCCTATGAAACACTGTATCTCCCATGGAGAAGATGTAGTCACAGATATTTTTATCTACAGTAATTGTAATACAAAGCATGCCATGAGGACATCTTCAAAACCTCAACATGAGTCTGACCGAGTACATGCTGTGTATGCGTACACACGTATGCGGGCTTTCACAAACCTACGCATGCACGCGCACGCCTA